CATGCAATAACTATTATTCATGTATCGAAAAATCACTAAAATATTCTTTAAGCATGGAAAAACTATTTTGACCCTTCTAAATATTCTTTGAAGTTTCTAGTAATTATTTCTCATTCTCAAAATTTTTTTTCACACGGTTTTAATATTAAACTTTTATTACATTCTTATTTTAATAGGTACCAAGCATTACGGTAGTAGTTGAAAGATGTTTTTTTCTTTTTTCAAAATAGATATTTTGATTATCTCTAGTGTCTTTGGTATAATCATATTACAGGTTGTAACAACATGTTTACAATTGTAGTTTAAATTTTTAAGTTAAATAATTTTTTGATATGATATTAAAACTATCATAACATTTTCGATTTGAATTTTAACACCTCCATTCTTCTAATTAAATTTTAAAAAATAAACATATGATATTAATGGGTTTCTACAAATTTCAAATCGAAATGACTTTTATTTGAGAAATATGTTAAAAATAATATATATCATATCCTAAAATATCTCCTTAACATTAACTAAGTTCTTTACCTTAATTAGGAATTAAAAGAGAGTTCATTGAGATAGTCTAACTTGAATGTTAACAAGAGCTATAGACACCTAAGATTGTGTTTTAAAAACAAATTTGTGGTGAATAGTTTTGATATATTCTGATTTTGAATTGCGTATATGAACTAATTTGTTTGAATGATTTATCGATACTTATAATAGGCAGTCTAATAGTAAAAGTTATACTTGGAGCATGATATATGGGAGCATGAAAATGGTGTAGATACTAGTTGTTTTAATTTATGGTTATTTACATAACTATTAAAAGAACCATTTTAATTCAAAAACGTAAATCATTATATTAGATCTCATGAAGAGTCTTATATCAACTCTGAAACAATATTTAGTACCATCATTACTAAACTCACAAGCAAATATACATTATAAGGAATGTAAAGCAAAATGAGATTATTTTTTTATATATATAGTTATGGTGGCATCAAAAAAGCATTGTTTTAAGGTTTTTTTTTGGCATAAACAAACCGTTTTCTAAAAAAAATAGTAATTTTTTGAAATCCTTTTCCATTTTATTCCTTAAAGTTTGATAGTTGTATGAAACAGTCTCTGAATTTTATTTGCTTTAAATCTAGGTCCCTAAATGTAGAAGTAATAGAAAAGAGGAAGAAGAAAGAAGAGAGAAATTTCTGATGAGCTACATTTTGAACATGTAACCTGACAATATTAGTGTCAATATATTTATCTATACGATAAAATTTTATTGATAATGGTTTTAACGTTATAAGTGATATAGAAAAAATATATCAAATTCAAAAAAGAAAATTAAGTTTATGAATTTGATTCGATATTGTCGAGTTTCTAAAATAGATTTAAGTATGTTGTAAGATTTAAAATGATTTTAAAACATTTTTGGGATGTTTCTAAACTGTTTTTAGTAAAGTTGATGCAAAAAATAGGTCTTGAGAGCCAAAACAGTGACCACATGAGTTTTCAGAGACTCCAAATTCCGGTTAGTAATTTCCATATTTCTGTCATAAGAAAATTGGAGAAGAAGATTCGAGGCGTTGTCTTCCTTCTCTCTCTCTCTCTCTCTCTCTCTAATATTACTGTTCTGCGCCATCCAGCCCAAGCATGTCTGTGGCTAGCTGGCACCAAGCCCTATACATATGGGCCTGTCGTAAGCCTAGCCCATTTTTTATCTTTTCTTTTTTCAATTATTTATTATTTTCTCAATATCAATTTTTTCCAATAATTAATATATTTCTTTTCATATAGCTTAAAAAAAGATGACTATTTTCTGTAATTCTAATTTTTCTTTTGTTTGTTGGTTAAAAATACTGGAGCACCTTTTTATTGTGGATTCTTGCCTTCCTCTAATTATTTATTATTTTAATTAAAAATTTTAGGCAATTTAAATAATTTATTTCATCTTTTCCTTTTTCTTTTATCGAAACCAAACATGTTCATAAAAATAAATTTAAATTCAGAACTAAAAATTGCACATGATATTAAATACTGAATGTACAGTTACAAAGTTTTCTTCGCCTTATTTTTAAAATTAATTAAAATATTAAAATAGATTTTATAAATTTGCTCGTAACAATAGACAGAACATAAAAATAATCTCTACCTAAAACTTGATTGCATCCATTATAATCTCTTAACAAAACTGCAAAAGCTAGCCGCAAAGTTCTTAATTTCTCATTACTTCACTGCTTCAGAAATGCTAAAGAACATATTTGTGTTACTGTAAAAAAACCAAGTAGAATAATTACGTCTATTAAAAAGAAAAATTCCAGAGTACTTGTAAAACTCTTCAAATATAATTTTTATGTTTGTAGAGATAAACATAAAACCTTGTTGTTGAATGAAGAATCTATACTAAATAATAAACTCACAGATAAGAAATACTACATTATATAAGAAAAATGCTAGTAGTTTCCAAAACAAAAATTTGATGCAAAAGCTCATAATTAAAAGATTTTGAACTTGATTATGGCTGAAATAATAATAATAAAAAGTACAAAGAAAACATATATAAAAATAATTCGTTTTTATTCTTCAATGTTCTCCATGAAGTGATTTGATAATCTTCTCAATTAAAAATAAAAAATTTGATTTTTATGTATTTATCTTATTGATGAAATGCATTTCCTTTCTTTCTTTTTTCTGACTTAGCTTTTTTTTTTTTTTTTTTTTTTTTTAACAATGAATCTCATGCACAGTCGTACATCTCTAAGTACAATGTATTTTCTTATACATTATGATATATCTAGGAAAATAGTGGATCTAAATAAAACGAGGAAAAACAAAACCTACATGGATTATGTGTTATCCAGGATACAAGCAAAGAGCTCCCTTGATCCAAATACTGCTCGGATGAACTATGCAAAGCCCTTTTAAATTATCTATGGGTGAAGGAAGGATGCTCCCAAAACCACTCTTTTTGAATGAGGGCCTACTTTGAAGCTCCCTTTATCCCATCAGCAACAGCTCTATCATCACAACAATAGCTAAATTGCTAACCATCAACATCAAGGACACATGTCCCTTAAGTTGATGTTAAAGACTATTGGTCGCAAGAGAATGGACCATCATATCAATTTTTTTTTCATGCAATTGACCAACATTTGCCTGTATAAGAACCCTAAAATCAAAGGTTCTAGGTTCCAACTCTCTCTTCTTTAAACAATTAATTGATTGTTTATTATATATATTCTGCATGCTTATTTGAACACACCATAATTTACTTATGTATTCCTTCTTTTTATATACTTAGTTATCGGAAGATCTCTCAACCAATCGGAAAAACTTATTTTACATACGCTTTGAGCATATTAAATAACGAGTTACTCATCAATTATTCTTGTCCATTCAGACATAAAAGAGACATCATCACCATATTTTTGTCCGAGGTTTCGACCTCATCACATTCAATCCATCTCTAAGCATGTTCTTGTTAATTTTCATTGTCTTCAAGTGGCAACACCTTAATAAAATATGCAGTAATTTATAGGCGGTAATTTGTAGGTAATAATCAATAGATAGTAATAATAAGCAATAGCAATAGAAAGATAGTTTGTCTTTGATTTGATTTTCACAATCGTTGTAACATGTGCATATCCTATCTCTCAATATTGAAAGTTTCAATTGGTGTTTACTCATCATCATTTATGTTTGTAAGTTATTACGTTTGTGAAGTCATTATCTTTTGTAAATAATATATATGAATTCTAGTTTCTATTTAACATTACAATCTTTAATTCACATATTTGTTATTAGTTAATTTGTTTGTTTTCAATTCAGTTTGATTAATTATTTTGATTGCACAGCTATACTACTATAAGTACTTAAGGTATCAATTCCTCTAGTTATACCACATACTTGCCTTCTAGCCTTGCAACCCAAATATTTTGGGCAACCTAGAAACCCTTTTGAAGAATTTTAGGGTCGTCGCATCCCAGCATAGGTAGTATTAACTTTTCATTTTTAAAGTTCAGATATTTCTAGGATTAATTGTAGAACAATCCTATTTAATAATTTTAGTCATATAATTTAGAATCTAAAAGGTAAACTACCCCACAGACTATCTTTCAATCATCTTTTATCTTTTTTTTCAAAATTTTTTTAATTAAAGCTAGCACAAAAGAATTCATAACACATATTACAAGTCATTCTAATTATTTTTTTACATGAAAATATCCGTTTGATTTTTTTACTATATAAAAGTGTTTGTTGTTAGCTATAATTAAGGTGATTTGTTGTAATCAAGGATTGGTTTCTAAAATAGTTGATATAAGTCGTATATTTACTCAATTGTTCTCATGTTTTTATTATGCCAAAAAGAAAATAATATACAATTGTGGAGTAAGCATATTGCTACCTACAACTTCTATTCTTATTGTGTAAAATGTTTTTGTTCTTTTATTAATTTTATAGTATCAAAACCTCAAAAAAATTTATCAATTCATTAAACATTTGAGGTATAATGGACAATAAAGATTTGAAGCCCAATCCATTTTAAATACCCAAAAGATAGACTCTAATGACTGAATATTTATATAAAAAAAAACATATCTCACGTCTAATAAATAAACAATATACAAGTAATGTATAAACTTGAGAATAAACCATTCATAAGATTAATAACAATCAATCTCAACTATCAAATTTATATATATATATATATATACTTTCACCAAAAATCCTCACCAGCCCATATACAACTGTATCCTTGTAAGAAACCCTTCTTCTGACGTCTCTCCATGTTAAGTCCAGACGCTTGTCAGGAATTTTTGTTTCTTTTTTAAATCCTTGGGCCCAAGTGTCACCGAGCGAAAAAAATTTATAATCTTTTGTGAGTAGTTTTATTGTCTTTGTAATCTGTATTATCATCATGTGTATGCTTGCCTAGCCTATATATAGCATATGCATGTGAGCTTGTAACAATATAGAAAACATTAGTTTGTCGCAATTTTACGAGAAGAGATATTATGGGTGCATTTGATGATTCCAAGCCTGCACTGGCTATGCTTGTATTGCAGTTCTCCTATGCATTTGTTTCTCTCATCACAAGAGCTGCTCTTGTACAAGGAATGAGTCCTAGGGTCTTTGTTGTCTACAGACAAGCTATAGCAACTTTGGTCATTGCACCTATAGCTTATTTCTCAAGGTAGTTTCTTTACGTATAAACTGCTGTGTCTCTATGCATACACATATGCCCCAACATTCGTGTGATATTCTCTTTCAATCTTTTATGTTCACAAAAGAAAATCAGGTGGGACATCTATGGGACTAAGGAGCTTTTCTTTAGTGTTTTCAGCCTCACTTATAGGGTACGTAATGCATAATCGATCCAAATTTATTTCCTTTGGCAATTCTACGTAATAAAATTGAACCGCACCAGCAGCTGATTATTCCTAATTAACTTTCACCTTCCACAGTGTAACAATCAATCAGAATGTCTATGCTGAGGGACTATACTTAGCCTCATCGTCAATGGCAAGTGCTATGGGTAATCTCGTTCCTGCAATCACATTTGTCATGGCATTTTCTATCGGGTAAATGAGCAGTGCTTAATAATAGTCTAACTTCTCATACTATTGTACCATGCAGTGAGCATATGCAAGATATTTTTGCTTCATAATTATTGAAGCAATTAGAGCTTGAATTATGAGGTCAATCCACAATTAACATATAAGGGGAAAAAATAATTGTGAAATGCTTAATTAGTTTTGCAGGAATAGAAAACACCTCGTGAACCGATTAGAATTCCTTTCTTTTTTTTCTTTTTTTTTTCCTTAGCTTGATATACTTTAAAATTAACTTGTGACATGTTTGTTCTGTAATTTAAATAGATTGGAGAAGATTAACATTCGAAGCTTCAGAAGTATTGCGAAAATAGTAGGAACAGTAATATGTGTCGGTGGAGCGATATCAATGGCATTGCTCAGGGGACCAAAGCTACTTAACACAACCATTTTTGGGTCGGGAGGAGAGGATTGGTTGCTGGGTTGTCTGTTTATCTTTGCGAGCACTTGTTGCTGGTCAATTTGGCTGATTTTGCAGGTGTGTGGATCTGAAATTGCCTTCATTAGTGTAAACATTTTCGTAACTCATATAATATTGCAAATTTTAACAGGTTCCGGTTACAGCTAGCTATCCTGACCACCTATCCTTGTCAGCGTGGATGTGTTTCATGGGAACACTACAGTCAGGAATTCTGACATTATTCTTAGAGAAAGACTTGGATGCATGGAAACTGCATTCATACTTGGAACTTGTTGGTTGTTTGTTCACAGTAAGTAGCTCTGTCTATTCCTGTTACTGGTAAGAGATTGGCTTTTTTTTATGCTTGACTGATATCCTAATGGCTTAGACCAAAATTTCTGATATGTACAGGGAATTATAGGATCCGGGTTTGCTTTCTATGTTCAGGCCTGGGTAATTTCTCAAAAAGGTCCCCTCTTTTCTGCGATGTTCAATCCTCTATGCACTGTTATTGTCACCATATTGGCTGCTATTTTCCTCCAAGAAGAGATTTACACTGGAGGGTACTAAAGATTTGAACTTTTATCTTTTCCAGCTTTTCTTATCTTTTTATTTGTATATTACAGTTTTGGGTTCTCACTAAAATCCTTTTTTCATAACGTGTCAGCTTGGTAGGAGGAGTTGCTGTGATTATTGGTTTATATATTGTGCTATGGGGAAAAGCCAAAGATCAGTTTATAAAGGAGGAAGACGAAATCAATCCGAAGCTGGAAATTGATCAAAAGCAGACAATTAAAATCACGATTGCGGAGTCTAGAGGAGGCAAACTTGATTTGGAAGAACCTCTTTTGTCTGATAAATCTAATGACATTGAAGAGAACCATAATTTCCATCAAAAATAGATTGGATCAGTGTATCTTTTTGTAATTCTTGTGAGATTACATAATGAACATGATATCGTAATAGTTTTGAGAAACTTTATTACTCCATTAGAGTCCATCAAATTCGTATTATTCCACCAATCAGATCTCCGGAACTCAAAAATTAAGTTATTTTGATATTTTATTTTAAAGATAGAAGTATTAATTCCATTAGGATAAGTCAAGATTGATAAAGATAGCATGTGAATTTGAAACCTTTTTTGCTTTGATTTTGTAAAAGTACCACTTTGGTAGAATGACAATAAATTTTACTACACATGGATCATTCTTATTTCTAATGATGGCAAAAAATCACTTAATACAAAGCTAGCATGCTACCAATTGAGCTTAACCGGCACCCTCTACCATTTCAACATTCGAACAACTTGAGTGGATGGTTTGACTGATTTGTATACCTTCATGATGAATAGCATTTCCAATATTAACATGAAATTTTAAGGCTGATCAATTAACTTTTCGGATTCTACGACTTTGATTTACCATGTAAACAGCTATTGCAAAAAGAGGGTCGCCCCCTGAAATTTTAGCAAGTGAAATTTTATATAAAGGAATATTCTTTAATATCAACCACTTGTTGCAAAATTATTAAAGGTCGCGTTCATGAAAATAAAAATAACAAATATTTAAAGTTCGAGTGAACTTCTCATATATATATATATATATATTGGAAACAGCCTTGGCCCTTCCGGAGGCTATTATACATTCTAAGCCGAACGAAGAAATAGAAAACAAAACAAACCGAAACGTTATCTGATAATTTAAAAAAGGCTAAGCTTCCAACTCAAAGACCTGTCAGAACCAATCCTGCTTATGTCAGTAACACGTTGAAAACTCAATCTCGTTAGTGATAAACAGCCTGGTCCACTTCTGCTGTCCAATAATAGTAATTAATTAAGCAGATAACTATAAAATTCTAATTAATCTAATTAACGTTTTCACTACTTCTTGTATGCTTATTGTAAAGGCTGCGCCATCTTTCCATATGATTGAACAGTTAACTTTATCTCCTTGTAGGTTTGAGTTTAATCGTTCAAATAGATTTAAAAATCTTTAATCTTCATCGAATAATATAAAACCTTTGATTGCATGGTTTCTTTCTTTCTTTCTTTCTTTTTTTCCCTTCTTCTAAGAATTAGATTACATAGCTTTTTTATTGAAGCCGCCATTAAGAGGATTGCTATAATACCAATATTGTCAAATATGTATTGCATCATTATATTTGAATTGACAATTCTTGTGTTCCAAGCCAAAGATGAGGCTTTGAGTAGGCTCTTGGTTCATTTTAGTATTTTTGTTTTTCTCATTCTTCTTCTGCTGCACATGCTGCCTTCCATTGCCGCTAGCCTCTTGTACCTTTCACCAAGTTGGTTTGTTTAATCACTTTGGTGTTCTAATGCTATTCACAGCTTATAAAAAGTGTCTTTTTTAATTATTTTTTAGGATCCAGTGATTTAATCAACATTGGAATTTTGCCCTCAGTGTTGTAGAATTCACCTACACCAGGTAGTGAGCAATACAGCATATTGAACAGATTATAAGGACCAAACCTATGTTAACAACGTCAGAACATATGGATAGGTTGTCATGGGGGCATGTATCATTCTGAATTTTCTTCACGGTTATAATTATCCAGTGGAGCTTGTCTTTGCCTTTCAAGTACAAACAATAAGTGTAGTATTGTCAAGCCAAAATATGCTTATTAGGCAATTAAAAAGACAAACTTAATTATGTTCAAAATTGTGCAATGTTAGTTTTTCTATTGAGCTATCTAGCCAAGCTCAAAAAACGTTTACACGTTGCTAATTCCAGAGTCTAACTTAATTAAGGCGATTACATGGAAATTGCCGTTTGATTCGATCATTTATGAACATACATATGAATGATGAAACATGAAGAATATAGCTCTACAAATCATTAACCCTGTTAATTTTGGCTTCAAGCCTAAGTTTTTTTTTTTTTTTTTTTTTTTTTGGTAAAGTCAAGCTTCAAGTTGTTGAGCAAAGATAAAAATCGATGACTTGTGATTTTTCAATCCATGCATCTTCATGGATTCCAGCTGTAGTGTCATCATCATGGATAAAATATCCACCTCCACTCCAAGCGACTCTGACAGTATTTTAAAGCTACACTTACCAAATATCTTCTGAATTTTAAATCATTTAAAAATCAGTTTTTAAATTTTTAATTTTGAATTACATATCTCTTCAACTCTTTTCTATGTTATCCTCGTCCACTTAAACTAATTCATCGTCAATTGCTAATTTTGAACTTAAAACACTAATTTGGCTCCCCTCACTCATATGGTCTAATTGAAGTTGCTACACTGGAAGTTCAAATCGAGCGAGAAGGCTTGAAGGAAATCATTTTGTTTTAAAATTGTTGATTAGTAATCAACTTATGAGGTAACTATAAATCATGGTTAATCAAGATATTTTTAGCTTAAATAATCATTTATTACCATTATCGCAGGTGAAAATCGACGAACTTTAAATTAAGATATATAATTGCAAAAGTCGTCACTTAGTATCAATGATCACCAAGAACTCAAATAATAGTATCTTCAAAGTTCTAAGATAAAGAGGTTGGTTATGTATAGAAAATATAAAAATCATCATATCCCATCTTATCTAAGATAAAGTGCATCAAATACAAATCTAAACATAATTTGGATTTTTATCATGATAAAAGTCTATTTCTATTTTTTGTCCTTGCTATCAAGTTAGAGATTAGTTGATTGAGTGATTCAAGATTAGACTAGTCAAAAACCTTATCCCTACTCTAAAGCACAAGGGTATTAAGCTTGAGGAGAAAATTATTCGAATTACTAACTCGGGAAAATTTAACAAAATCAAGAGAAGTAATTTAAATGATGTAGACTCATAAGTCAAGATTTTGAAGTGATATGGAATAGGGTGCCACTTAGTATTAATGGTTACTAAGAACTCAAATAATTGTCTCTTTAGAGTTCTAAGATAAAAGGTTGGTTACGTATAGAAAATATAAAAATCATCATATCTCGTCTTACCTAAGGTAAAGTGCATCAAATACAAGTATAAACATAATTTGGATTTTTATCATGATAAAAGTCTATTTCTATTTTTTATGCTTGCTATCATGTTAGAGATTAGTTGATCGAGTGATTTAGGATTAGATTGGTCAAAAACCTTATCCTACTCTAAAGCACAAGGGTATTAAGCTTGAGGAGAAAATTATTCAAATTACTAACTCGGGAAAATTTAAAAAAAAAAATCAAGAGAAGTAATTTAAATGATGTAGACTCTCAAGTCATGATTTTGAAGCGATATGGAATAGGGTGCCATGAAAAACTATACGAACTCAAAAGTCGTGGTTTTACGAGAAACAAATGATCAATTTTGAAAAAATATGAACTCAAAAGTCACAATTTTACAATAAATCTAGTAAATAATTTAAAACAACATGAATTTAAAAGATGAAATTTTAAAACAATGCGAACTCAAAAGTTACGATTTTTCAAGAAAAAATTCATGGATAGTTTTAAAATGGAATGAACTCATAAGTCAAGGTTCTAAAATGATGCAAATTCAAAAGTCATTATTTCTTGGAAAATACTCGAATAAATGATTTTAAGACAACATGAACTCGAAGTCACAATGCTAAAATGACATGAATTCAAAAATTGCAATTTTTCAACAAAAAAAAAAAAATTCATAAAAGCCGATAATGATGACTCAAAGTCATTTTTACTAACTCCTTTGAAAAAAAACAAATATTAAACCCACATTGGCCAAACAAATTGTTCTCACAAGACTTATTAGCAACAACAATTAGGTTTTCACAAAAGTCATTTAATTTAAGAATAATTAATTACATCAAGCATCACCTTCGAAACAATTTCAGTTTAAATATTCAAGCATTCACACAACCAACGTCACACTAAGACCGACACTCATCCCGAATAATTCAAGAAATAAAATTTTATTCTCATTCTTCCAACTCCATCTCATTGTATTGATTCTAATCTTATTTCACTTCGAAAGCTTCCGAGTCTTAGAGCCCTCAAATTTGATACACACTTAGAGTATCGTTCACATTTCAAACTATTTAGAATTTATTGACAAAAAATAATATGTATTCAGTATAAATCAAAGAACATTGATAAAATTAAAACCGACTCTAAAAAAGACCAAAATGCATCGCATCAACTTTACTAAATTACCATTTTACCACCTTAGGTAGTTTAAAATACCCAAAATATCCCTAGCACATGACTAACATGCATTACCAAAAACTTACAACAAAGCCACTCTCATCATCAAATACTTAGAAAATCAATTTGATACCCCTCAACCAATAACCTTATTACAACTTTTTTCTCGTTTTTCTTTCTAACTAACACCCAAAAACTAGTCTAATGGCTAGTAATTAAGGTACCTCTACATATGTCAATAAGTTTTAGCCTCTTAATAAGTTAGAAAAGTAAGAAAATCAAGATCAAAATAGAAAACCCCAACTCGACCACGTTTTTCTACCTAGTTTCCTTTTTTTTTTCCTAGTCAATTAACTCTTTTCTAGCCTTGGTTTCTAATATTTTTCATGTCAAACAACTACAACTAAAATATTTAGGTATAGAATTAATACCCCTCTATGTCCTTAAATAAGTTTTACACATTCAATGAACAAAATGAGCAAGAAAATTGAAATAAAAACCTTATCCCGACTTGTTTTTCTATCTAGTTTTTCTCTCTTTTTCAATTGACCAGACCTACTTCTAACTTTCATTTCTAAGGCTTTTCTTTCAAATAATTACAAATAAAGGGTTTGGGACCTAGACATGATGTCCCTCTATATCCTTAAGCAAGTTTTACACCATTAACAAGTTAGGTGAGTAAGAAAAATAAAAGTAAAAAACCATATCTAGTCTTTTTTTTTTTTCCTAAAAACACGATATGACTAAGCTTTTCAAAAATAAAAAATAAAAACTATTTTAAAGATGTTACATAAGATTCTAACATAAAATAAAACTCAACACACGTATGTTATAAACAAAAAGAAAGAGGAAAAAATGAAGAATAATACTTATTTTGATGCTAAGAATTGAAGAGATATATGGTAAGTGTAGCTAAGTTTGATAATCTACTCCCCTTCTTTTCATGGTTTTTTTGTTTGTTTTTTTCTTTTTTTTTCTTTTTTGCTCTTTTTTTCCTATTCTCTTCCTCATAAAATGATCTCGATAATGTTTGGATATAGAACTCTCTCTCTCTCTCTCTCTCTCTCTCTCTCTCTCTCTCTCTCTCTCTCTCTCTCCCTCTCTCCCCTCTCTCATTCTCTCTCTCTCTCTCTCTCTCTCTCTCCCTTTCTCCCTCCACTCTCTCCATCCTTCCTTTCTCTATTTCCTCTCTCCCTCTGCTCTTTTTTATCTCTCTCTCTCTCCCTCTATCTCTTTATCTCTCTCATTCCCTTTATCCCTTTTTATCTCTCTCATTCTCTTTCTTGCTCGTTATCTCCTTTATTTTCTCTGTCTCTCTCATTCTTTCTTTCTCTCTTCTTCTTTTTTTCTATATTTCTCCCTCTCATTGTCTCTCTATTTCTTTTTCTTTCTTCATCTCTCTCTCTCTCGCTCTCTCTTCCTCTTCTCGCTCTCTCTCTCTCTCTCCTCTTTTTCTTCCCATTTCTTCTTTTTTTTCTTTCCACTTTCTTTCTCTTTCTCTCTCTTCGTCTCATTTTCTTCCTCTCTCTATCTCTCGTTTCCTCTTTATCTATCTCTCTTTTTTTCTCTTTTCTTCCTCTTTCTCTCTATCTCTTTTTATTTCTCTCTCCATTTCTCTTCTCCTTTCGATCTATCTATCTCTCTCCTTCTCTCTCTCTCTCTTCATCTCTCTCTATCTCTTCTTTTTTCTCTCTCTATCTCTTTTTTTTCTCTCTTCATTTTCCTTTCTTACGCTCTTTCTCCTTCTTTATCTCTCTTTCTCTCTCTCCTTCTCTCTTTCCCTTTCTCTATCTCTCACACACTCTCTCTTCATCTCTCTCTCTCTCTCTCTCTCTCTCTCTCTTACTCTTCTTTTCTCTCATTTTCCCTCTTTTTCCTCTTTTTATCTCTCTTTATCTCTTTCTTTCTCTCTTCCTCTCTCTCCTTCCCTTTCCCCTTTCTCTCATAACATCCCTTTCTCTCTCTCTATCCTCATCTCTTCTTTCTTTCCTCTTCATCTCTTCATCTTTCTCTTTTCTTTCCTTCTCTCTTCCTTCCTTTCTCACTCTCTCCCTTCTCTCCATCTCTCTCTCTCTATCTTTTTCCCTCTCTCTCTCTCTCTCTCTCTCTCTCTCTCTCTCTCTCTCTTTCTCTTTCTTAAGGTGAGCTATCAAGTTTAATAAGTCATTATAATCAAAGTCTCTCTCTCTTTTGCTTTTAACCATAAGGTGATTTGTCAAGTCTAATAACTCATTACCTTAAACAATCAAAGAGAAATTCCCTTCAAAAAGGGTTATAGCTTATCTCGTGTGCTTTGTATCATTATTTATGATTTTAAGTTTTAAAATGATACTTAGGGGCAAGAAAATCTTTAATAAATTTTCTTTCTCAAAGCCATGAACAACTCGACGAAATTCGGTGACCTTCATTTGCTTAAAAACATTGGTGCCCCATCTTTCAAAAAAAATCAAATAAAATATTTTAGGGTCCATAACCTATCCAAAAAAGAACCTATACCTATTTTGTTCAAAAATTCTCAAGGATGGATTACATCTAAATATGTTCATGATATGTTACGCCTTGTGATAGCAAATAACCAATTGTTTTTAAAATATAATGCTTTTAAACTTAAATCTCTCTAATTTCTTTCTAAAAGATCCTAGCATTTCTAAAAAAATATAATAGAATATAGCAAATGAATGAATGCAAGCACATCGGGATCGAAATTAGATAGCTTAAAGAAGTAGATCATATTTTAAAACTAGAAATCACCACCGAAATTTAACATGATCCACATTTCATACAAAGTAAGCAAGAAGCCTACATAAATTCGAAAAACAACAATCATAACTTAGAGATAAGAGGATGACATATTATGTCAAGAGTTACGGAATCAAAACATAACACCTCAAAAGAAAAAAATAGGTGAAGTTGTTTCTTAAAATCCGAAAAAGCTAATAATCAAAACTCCTTGGGACTAGCATCATATTCAAATAATAGAAGAAGAGAGTCGACCAAAATGGGTGTTGAGTACACCGAACGACTATATATTTCTCATATGTAAGAAGCTAACCTAACTAAATATTTTTTATTGATATGTTTTAGAAACATCTTTTCAAAAGCAAAGAAAAGTATGGTTCAACCACTCTAGCCACAGATCCTCTTAAAAACTCGATGTCATTCGTAAGATTGAGTAAATCTTAAAAACATCTTCAAAGAGTTTTCAAGTGAACTTTTAAGGTAGGTCGTCTCTAGTACATGGCCAATATCTTTGTTTTTTTTTTAAAAAAAAAGTGAATTTCTAAGGTAATTCTTCTCTACTACATGACCAACATTTTTTTTAAAAAAAAAGTGAATTTCAAAGGTAGGTCACCTCTACTACATGACCAATATCTCAAACAAAAATAAAATAAAATACAACTGAATTACAAAGGTAGGTCATCTCTATTATATGACCAACATATCCAAATAATTTCCGAAGCTGATCACCTCTTAAATCGATTACTCCTTCTCTCTCTTTTCAAAACATTTCATACTCTTTATTAGCTTATTAAACAAATCCAAAGAAAAATATTTTTTTGCAATGATTTTATATCGTAAGTATTGTAAAGAAAAGACAACAATCATTACTTGTTTTAGATCCCAAAAACTTCATAAAATTTTATTTATATCAAAAATTCAAAAGAAATGCATGTTATAGAGTTTCTATGATTTTCCATAATTTTTAGGCCTTTTATAAATTTTTATGATTTTAAAACATACTAGTATTTTTATTCTCGATTTGTGAAAAAGTTAAAAGAAAAAAATGAAAGAAATGAGAGAGAGAGAGAGAGAGAGAGAGAGAGAGAGAGAGAGAGAGAGAGAGAGAGAGGAGGAGGAGGAGGAGGAGGAGGAGGAGGAGGAACAACAACAACAACACATAAAAAAATCTAGAAAAAAGCATTCAAAGAAAAAAGAAAATAGTTGAAATGGCTAGAAGAAAAACAACTAAAAGGAAATCGAGGCCAATTTGTGAAAAAAAAAATTGTGTTTAGTAGTTTAATGTAAAAGAGTTTTTCAATTTACCTCTTATTTCACCCTAAAAAGGGTCAAATTGAAAGGATCAAATGGGTTTTTTTTTTTTTTAGGAAACAGAAATTGCATATATTTTTCGAACCTTGTGTTTGTTAGGTTATTTCATTTTCATAGCAATTGTTTTTCTAGTTTTCAATTGTACCTTTGTTTTATGCAATAAATGCTAATTTAAAGACACAAAATTCTTTTTATTTTTTCTCCTTTTAGGTCAATTTGTTTCTTGATTTTGTTAATTTATTTCTTTTTGATAACTTGACTTAGATTACCTTAATTTTATCCTTATTTTGCATAAGAAAAAAGAAAATCATGAGAAGTACAATGTTGTGTTGAAAGTTTGTTTTTGGGTCAATTTAGTTCATATTTTGTTAGGTGGGTTTCTTGTTATTGACTTTATTTTCATACTCTTATATTGAAATGTAATTAGATCAAACATCAAATTGACGAGACATAATAAACTCCTTATCCATTTCTTTAGAATTAGTACAATTTTAGAATTTTTAGTCTCGCTTAAAGTACTAGATGGCAACTTTGTTTTTTAACTCCTTTTAGTTTGAAAGTCCTATATGTCGGGTGACACACTTCCTCTCTCAATTTCTTAATTTATGGGGTTTAATACACCCCTTGTCTATGTACTTTAAAGAAATTATCGTCACAACCCTTGTACCCGGATATAGTTCATAACCGACCTTATACTATTAAAAGTTGGTGTAAAATAACATCTCCATTATGTTTTTCTATTAGTTTGAATAACGTTTTTTAATTTACCTATAAATGACTAATACAATATCGACACTTGTCAATTTGAGGATGAAAATATAATTTTGATTTTGATTTTTTTTTTTTTTTTTACTTTGTTTTAAGTTAAGATCATTTAAAATGACAATGAGTCGATCTAGACCCATTCCCCGTCGAAGATTGCCATCTTCAAGCCTTGAAAGATCTAATACATCATTTATAAGAGTAGCCAAAAGGTTACTACTTTTAAGAATGGTCTCAACCATACGACGTTTCTCAAATGGTCGTTTAGTTTATTGAATTAAAGAGGAAAGTCCTGTAATTGCATGCATTGGAGTTCTCATCTCATGGTTCATAAAGGCCAAGAAATCATTGCGAGCACGAATTGCTATTTCTACTTCTCTCCTAACATGATCAAGCACAACATTCTTCTCCCTAATAAGGTATATTCCCTTATTTTTGGACACCCATAATCCCATAAGAGTTTTTGATGAACAAAAGAACTTAATTTCTTACATCTTGCTTTACTTGATATTGTTGAGGAACAAGAAGAAGACGAGGAAGAAGAATAAAAGATGAAGAAGAATAACACAACATAAGTAATGAATTGTAGCAACAAATAAATTAGTAAAGATTTGTTACTCAATTGTAGTAAGAGAAGAAGAAAATTTAAGGTTAATCGATTTAGGGATTTAGGTTTGCTAGAGAAATTTAGTAGTTTTCAATTACAAATATATATTGTGCTATGTTAACAAACCACGGTTAGTTGAATTGGTTTACATATTTTTCAATTTTAAATGTCTTAACTCAAAACAAAGATAGAAAAATAAAATGAAAAACAAAATTATGTTTTCACCCTCAAATTGACAAATGTCGATATTATATTTGTCATCCATAGGTCAACTAATAGAAAAATATAAAGGAAGGGTTATTTTACATCAACTTCTAATAGTATAAGATCGGTTATGAACTATATCTCGATACATGAGCTATGACGATAATTTCTTTAAAATATAGAAACAAGAGGTATATTAAACCCTTAATTTATGCCTTTAAACCATCAAGTCTCTCAAATTCAGATTAAAATGATTGTACCACTCAATGAACTCACAATTATGGTGAAAATAATACAACTTATTCGGCTTGGACTGCCACTAAGATATAATTATCATTGCTTTATGCCCACAACATACCTTATTCATATATCTTGGGTAGTCTTCGTCATTTTGTTGTTGAGAATGACTTCCAAAAGAGTGGATTGAGTAGGTTGACATTTCAAAAAATAGGTTGTGTGAAATAAAAGTTTGTAGCTCTATTTGTGTGATTGTATATCATGTTTTCATTCGTTTATATCTTTCTTTTCCTTCATAATTTCTCTCTCTTTTGGTCCAATTAGTGAACAATTTAGGAGGGAAGACACGTTTTGGAGGAAAAATAAGAAGCTCAATTATTTTTGGTGCGTTTTTTAGATGCTTTGGGATTGAAAATCAATCATGTAACTTGCATGTGTACTTTTAGTGTTTTTTTTTTAACAAAAATCTAACAAAAAGACTAAACTAAATTTTAAATAGAAAATAGTTGAAAGAAAATACAACTTGAAATTAGAAATTTATAGACTAATTCTTAAATATCCTAGTGTTCAAAGAAAGTTTGAACCGTTTAGCCTATTTTAAATATAAATTTCTTTATTCATTGGACTAGATAGTTTATAGAATAAGTCTGCCTAACAATTTCTTGTCTAAAAAAATGGAAACAAAAGTATGCTAGTTGGACTATGGCTAATTGGCATCGGATTTTATATTAACAAAACGGGACTGATTCCTCATTTCCAAGAAGTCCTTGTCAAATTAAAAAATAAATAAATAAACCCGAGGCATGTATGTGGACCGTACTAGGAAGTCTGTTCTTTTGCATCTCTCTACGTTTGTGGTTCGTTAGTCTCCCTCAATATTAAATTTATACTGGCAGAAATGTTTATAACCTTAGGAATATCATTGTCACCAGTCACAATTTGGTTAATTAATGGTTCTCTCGTCCATGTAAGTGCATGCATATGCGGACAACATACAATCATACATGTGAGACTCGCCGTGTGCATGTCACAATACTACTTTTATCGCTACCCTTATTTCAGCTTCTTGCCAGCAAAAATACGAGTGGATTAGATGATTACACGCCTGCAATTGCTATGCTTGGGCTACAATTTGGTTGTGTGGGTATGGCTCTAGTCACCAGATCCAGTTGCTCTTATGCCAGGAATGAGCTCTAGGGTTTTCTTCTTTTTTAGTATAAATATCAAATAACTATTTCAATTCAAAAATTTAAATTATTGTATTAGATTTTAAAAATATTTTTATATTAAAATTTAAGTTTTATGTTTAAATTTTTTTAATTAATTAAAAAATATTTTTTTCATAAGTGTGAGACAACTATATCAATTCAAAAAAATTAAATGATTAAGTGAGATTTTAAAACTAATTCTATATTAAAACTTAAGCTTATGCTTAATTCTTTTGCCTTAATTTTTTTAATTAATTAAAATATTTTTTATCAACATTCTAATATTATATTAAAAAAAATTATTTTAATTTAAAAATTTAAATTGTTTTATGTAATCTTAAAAATGATTTTATATTAATCTCTAATAACAAGCAAGTATAGCAACTTTGATCATTGCACCTATAACACCTATAATTTATTTCTCAAGGTGCTTAATTATGTGCATAACTGATCTGTCATCTCTTTCTTCTTCTTTCTACAATAGCTTCATATATTCCTAAAAATTAAAATTGTTGCACCTCAGGTGGGAGTTCTATTGGATCTCGCTTTTCTTTGGTATTTTTAGCTTCATTTATAGGGTAACGCATTGATTTTTTTTCCTCTTTTTTTTTCCCCCTTATATGGGTACTATGCAATCGCGAACTATATGTATATTGACTGAAACGTTATTCCTGACCGTAGCATGCGACAGTGTAAATTAAGATCCATCAGAATATCTGGTTTCAGGGTTTATATTAGGCCTCATCATCAATGGCAAGTGCAATCCCATTCATAATTTCATTCCTTATCGGTCAATGGATGGAACTTATTTGTCACTTTATTTGAGGTACTGCTAGCATTTGTAATTTTCTGAAGTAAATAGAACTTCAATTATGTCCTTCAACACAAGACCTGATATAGGCATCAAAATCATTATAAAACTTTTTGACAGAAATTTGAAAACATGACATCGATTGGAGAAAATTAACATCCAAAGCTTAAAAAGTACTGCAAAACTAATAGGAACAGTAACATGTGTCAGCTGAGCTATTTCAATGTCATTGCTTGGAGGACCAAACCTACTCCGCACAATCATTAGCTTCGGAGGTGACAAATGGTTGCTGGGTTGTCTGCTTCTCTTAGCAAGCACTTGTTGCTGGTCAATTTGACTGATTTTACAGGTGTGCTATTGATCGCTCAATCAATAGCTGGAAATTGATCAAGCCCAGAAAGTGAAAATCCTGATGGGTGATTTGAAGGAACCACTTCCGTCTAATAAATCATATGATATGATATGAAGAGAATGATTTTTAGAATTCATCACTGCTGAACAAAGTGCTACTCGTTGTTTTTGGTCCTAGACCTAGGTCTAAATCATTTTTCTTGTTCTACATATAACCAATGTGGGAACAATTGAGAGGGGTTTCGTAAAAGCAAATCAAGTGAAAATAATAATAATAATAATAATAATAATAAGAAAACGAGCCAGTTATTAGAATTCCTGGCCATTAGTTTTGACTGGACCCAACTCTTATTTCGCTTAGGCTTCGGCCCACAGAAGCTTGTAATGTGGACTGCAACAGCTCCTTGTTCTATTGGTATCGCCGTTTGCGCTATACTTTTCCAAATGTACAGCACTGATCATTTTCTTGTCATAACCTTTGTAAAAAAACGCAACAATCTGCCAGCATTTCTAATAACCTCATACTTTGAAGGGTTTTTTTTTTTTTTTTTTAAGAATGTAATCAAGTTGTGCATATCAATACCAAATATATAATATATAAATTCAAATTCGTCCTTAATAGCCTCTTTTAAGTTTCCGATCCTTGTTCCTTTAAAAACAAATGAACAGTAAAGTCAAATTTCTAATGGCACTTCAAAGTCCTATATAGCTGTTACAGAAAACCAAAAGAGAAGTCATAGTAGATTTTTCTCATAGTAAGTAAGAAAGAGAATATAGTGATAGAAAAGACAAATAAAGTTCTAGAGGGAGATCTTAGTTAAGGAAGAAAATAAAGTATTATTATTATGATGTGTCTAAACATATCTAAAGGGATTCTAAAAAGTACAAAAGAGATTACAAGGATAAAGTTGAAGACAATAATAAAGAGAATAGTATGGCTGCAACTGTTTATGAAAGTGATGTCGTCGTTGTTTATGATGATGCTTGTGTCAATTTTGCTTGTTAGCATGCCACCCGGATAGTAGATTCAACTATTTCTTACCATGTTACAATCCAACAAAATTTCTTCACATCCAAAACTAGTGGAAACTTCAATCAAGTTAGGATGAGAAATCAAATGATGGTTAGTGTTATGGGCATTAGAGATATTTGGTTGAACAATAATATTGAGTGCAAGTTAGAATGTTAGACATATGCTTAATTTACACCTACAATTAATCTCTATAGCTACACTTGATGAAGAAGATGTGTCTCTATATATCACAAGCCAAGGTGATTAAAAGGAAGGTAAATGCAATTGAAGATACTTCTACCTATTTATGGCATAGGTGGCTTGAATATTTGAGTGAGAAAGGCTTTGATATCTTTATCAAGAAGAACTTTCTTTCTTTTAAAGGTATGAACTTGAACACTTAAACTCATTTTTAGCTTATAAACAATATAGAGTGGAATTTCACAGATCGCATCTACATAGAAGATCTCATATTCTTGACTTATTCCATACTAATATTTGCTCTATGATTGACAAATCTCTTAAAGGTACTTTTGACTTTGTTAGTTTTATTGATAATTATTACGGAGCAATTTAGGTCACTTGTTTGAAATCCAAAGATCAAGTGCTTAATGTCTTTAAGGATCTTTACACAAGAGTTGAAAAAAAAAACTAGCGAGAAAGTTGAAATATATTTGCACATACAATAGTGATGAATGTAGGAGTCTATTTGAGAAGTATTGTATAGAACATACCATTAAGCTTGAAAAGAAAGTTTTGGAGACTCCATAGCATAATGGAGTGGAAAAGAAAATAAATAGAACTCGTTGTTAAAAGGTTCTAGTGTATTCTCTCTTCTAAAGTTGCTTAAGTCCTTTTAACTAAAGTAGTGAAGATTGCAGTTGCCAAGATTAATCTTTCTCTATTAGGTCTTCTTGACTTTAATGTATTAGAGAAAAAAATAAAAATAAAAATATATTTCTTATGCAGATTTGAGAGTATTTGGTTACGGGGTATTGGTATATGTTTCTAGAGATACAATATCTAAGCTTGATAACAACACAATGCAGTGTATTTTCTTAAGTTATAGAGATGATGAGTTGGCTATAAGTTACAAGATCCAAAAGTGTAAAAAAATATCAAAAATAGAGATGTTATCTTCTTTGAAGATTTGACTATTAAAGATTTTGAATAAAAAGAGAATATAGAGTCTCTAGTTCTATTCCCTGCTAGTTTGGATCCAAAACCTACTTCATAGTTACTTTTGTTACCTTTTAATTATGAAAAAATTTGGATAAGGATGATAGTGATTTATTCCCCTTTGAACCATTAATTAATCATCATAAGCTAGCTAATGATGATGACGATGATATTATTTCTCCTTGAATAGGTTATTCAAAACACTAGATGAGCCATAGTTGAGGAAGACTATCAAACCAAGCTAAGCTTCCACCAAATATCATTCTAATGAGTTTGTGTTGGTTATTGAAGGGAGATCATAATGCTTTGGTGAATCTATATCATAAGAGAAGAAAAAAAGTGTTCGAAGGCTACACATGATGAAATGAAATTTTTGTTTGAGAACCACATTTTTGAACTAGTGAAGCTTCATAAGGGCAAGAGAGACCTCAAGAAAAAATAAGTGTTTAGCTTGAAAATTAAATAAAACTACTTATAGCCAAGGTACAACGAAAGATTGGTAGGGAAGAGTTTCGATCGGAGGAAAGGTATTGATTTTGAAAAAAAAAAAAACTCACGTATGATCAAGATGTATTTAATTCCAGTTGTGCTTGGTTTATTTACTAACTTAAATATTAAAATTTAATAGTTTGATATGAAAA